TTTTAATTACCTACTTTCGCTGATCAAAAAGGCTGCTGTATTTTCTCCAAAACACCACTAGAGCATGCTGATGTTGCACAGAGAAGTTCAGTTCTGGTCTGAACTACTAAATTATTACCATGAGTTTTCTATGAATAGGGATTTTTTAAAATTATTTTTTGGAACTTTGCACTCATAAAATGCAATTTCTTGCCAATGAAAAATTTTAGAGCTGAGCATAAAAAATTTTATATTAACTTAAGAAATGTCAGTGATTTTTCTATATATGGAAATCACAGTCAATAATTATGTATATGGTGTATGTATGTATATATAATTATATATATATATTGGTTTAAATATATATTGGAGCTGAGCATAAAAAAATGTATATTAACTTAAGAAATGTCAGTGATTTTTCTATATATGGAAATCACAGTCAATAATTATGTATATGGTGTATGTATGTATATATAATTATATATATATATTGGTTTAAATATATATTGGAGCTGAGCATAAAAAAATGTATATTAACTTAAGAAATGTCAGTGATTTTTATAGAGTTGTTTGGGGTGGGGATAAATTAAACGCAATCTGCGATGACGTCATAGTCGTGTTGCATTGTGGTCTATGGAGCGGCCTGAAGTGTGCATATGAAGCAGATTCGCTCCCTCGGTCAAAATCGAAGGGTCGAGGGTATGTCCATGTAAACTTCCCTCGTCCACTTGACGAAGTGGAACGCACTTCAAAATGACGGTGGGGATTCCCCCGAGGGTAAGTGCTTAGGGAAGTTCGCGAGTGCGTGTCTAAAAGTGGAGTGGAACGCAGCCAAAGTGGGCAGAGCGGGCCGTCGCCATCTTGGCAGCGCGTCACCACCGGGTGTGCCTCACACGTCCTGAAAAGTGAAGCTGCGGGCTCTTTGATCGCCCCCTAGTGGCTGGCTGCAGTACAGGTCATAAACCCCGCCCTCTCCATGTAAACGCATGGGACTTGAGTCAAAATAAAAAAATTAATTACGATTCCAATACAATTTTCTGAAAGATGGTTTTGGTCATTTAAGGTAGTTGTCATCTTTTGGCTTCACTTTTCTATAGTGGAAGGAAGTGGAGACGCGTCGTCCATGTTTTTTTTACAGTCTATGTGTCAGACATGTGTCACTTTGCTTGAAGCTGATTGGTCAAATTTCGGTTTGAGATCTCTAGACCAGAACATAACCTGCCCCGGAGTAGGTTAGCTGTGGAGCATAAGTTACTACGGTGATGAACACCACTAAAAGCCAAGCCACATTCATGGTACCTAAAAGCCAGGATTGGTGCAAACTAAACTGAAACTTACCTGGCTAGCCAGCTAATCCGGCTTCATGGTACAGGCCCCAGGTTTTCTGTGATTTTGGGAAGCCTGACATTTCTATTTTGATGGGTTAAAGAGTTGAAAACAA